AATAATGATTTTCAATAAAAGATCTATATGTAAAACAAACTTCAATGTGGCGGTGCAGATGCCGCATCCCTGGTGGACCTCTTTTCAAGATGACGGCAGCAAAAAGGAGGAATGATTTACTGCTGCAGTTCGCCCTACCCATAGTGAAGCTCTTTTCAAGACGACCTCAGTCATCAAACGGGAGGACGTGTCTGCGCTTCCAGAGTCAGCGAACTGAGAGAAACGTCGGCGCCCTCGGACCCAGAGGGCATCCGCTGGTTGTGACGGGGACGGCTACTGCTGGCAGGTCACTCGTGACGTAGAACTCTTCGAGTCAAGTCGAGTCTAGGTTGGCCTGGTTGGCCCAAACGGACGCCGTTCTGCAGCACGGCACGGGGCCGGGGCGGGACGTTCCGTAATCGTGCTTCCGTGTCTGGGCTGAGGCTGGCCCGGTCTTCCCCCGCCTCCCCGACCTGACGCCTAGCGTCGCTAACGCCCCCTCCGCCCACAACCCCAGCAGCTCCTCCTCCCGCTCCTCCTCCTCCGGCCGCAGCTCGGGAAACCGCGAACCAGTCGCGGAGGTGTGGCACGGTGTAACCCTGTCAGTGCCAAGTTGTCCATTAAAAGAAAGAGAGCGGGCCCGCCCTCTGCGGCGGCGGCGGAGTCGAACGCCGCCAGGCCCAAGTTAGCCCGACGAGCGAGGTAAGCTCTTCCCGTTGAAGATCATCTCAAGAATGTGTCTGTTTAGCTTTTCCTTTCCGTCTAGTAGAACCGCAACTGGACCTTGGGTGCTCGCCCTTGCTGTCCTTTTTTGGGGGCGACGGCAATGTTCTCTGTGGAGGCGCGGGTGCGGGTGGTCCAAGTCCGGGCGACATGCTGCCGCCCTTCGCTAGAGGACAGGGAACGGGTCGTCCAGGGCCGCGATCCGGCCCATCTGCCTTAACCAATAAGTGAGTATATATTTCAGTCACCCTAACACCTCGTCGAACACCGCGCCCGCCAAACTGTAAGTGATTCGCGCGCTTCGATTGCCTTGGTGGCGTGCCGCCGCGGTGGTGACAGGCCCTCCGAGTGCATGCCCCTCTCTGTACGACTCTGTGCACGAATGCTGGTGTGGTGTGGGCCGCGAGCCCCACTCTCATCTTGCCGCCCGCGCCCGGCGGCCCCCTCAGCGCCCCCGCGGGGGGTGGGGCGGCGTGGGGCGCCCCCGCCACCCCAGCCCAGGCCCGATGACATCTGACGGTATCCAATTTCGCGAGGGGCTGGCTGCCCCATCCCATCCCGGCAGGCCGGGCCCTCTCACCTCGCACCCCCTCACCCCCTGCCGCTTCCTCTACCCTTGCCCCC